GGGGAGGGGGAGCGCACAGTGCATGGTTCCTAACCCTGGGTGTTTGGGTCTGGTGATTTCGTCATGTTGCCTTTATTGCTTAAAGAGAAAAAGTCACGAGGGAATTTTTTATTAGCCACTGACGTCACCAGAGTAGCATCAGCGCGAGTCACACCCTGCTCCCTCAGTGCTGCCTAGCCACGTGCGGGGCGCAGTGGGGAGATTTGTGAAAGAAGGTGTCTGAGGATCAAATCATGGGCCTCCACCCAGCCCTGGGAGAGAATCAGAGAATCCTAGACCTCAGGAGTCATGGAGTTCAAGGGAATTTTTTATTAGCCACTGACGTCACCAGAGTAGCATCAGCGCGAGTCACACCCTGCTCCCTCAGTGCTGCCTAGCCACGTGCGGGGCGCAGTGGGGAGATTTGTGAAAGAAGGTGTCTGAGGATCAAATCATGGGCCTCCACCCAGCCCTGGGAGAGAATCAGAGAATCCTAGACCTCAGGAGTCATGGAGTTCAACTCCTTGCCCAAAACCGGACCAACCCTGACTCAGTCATCCCAGCCAGGGCTGTGTCAAGCCAGGACTTAAAAACCTCTAGGGATGAAGATTCCACCCCCTCCCTAGGGACCCATTCCAGTGCTTCCCACCCTCCCAGGGAAATAGTTTTTCCTAATATCCAACCTAGACCCCCCCCACTGCAACTTGAGACCATTGCTCCTTGTTCTGCCATCTGCCGCCATTGAGAACAGCCTCTCTCCATCCTCTTTGGAACCTCCCTTCTGGAAGTTGAAGGCTGCTACCAAATCCCCCCTCACTCTTCTCTTCTGCAGACTAAATAAGCTCAAATCCCGCAGCCTCGCCTCGTAGGTCATGTGCTCCGGACCCCGTATCATTTTGGTTGCCCTTCCCTGGACTTTCTCCAGTGTCCCATCTGCTGAGTCCTATCTGCCGAGCAGCCCTGGAAAGTATCTCACAAACTAGCTATGAATGAAAAACAAATCAGAGCCCCTCACAACCTGTCTTGGACAGAAAGCAAAGGGCTAAGTTTGAAAGGCTGGGGAGTAAAATATTCACAGGTGTGTATCTGCGCGGGGTATAACCCAAGGGGAGGCTGAGCCCAGGGGACTGGAACAATTTGTTTGTGGGGGGAAGCTGAGAGCCAGGGGGTGTGGCAGGCCCCTAGATCCAGCACTTCTGGCTGTGTCATTACAACACTGCACATACTAGAACAGCCACCAGTTTCTACTTTATCGGATTCTCTTGTCCACAAGGAGCTGGAGACTTCCTAGAGGTGCTTGGGGTGACCAGGCCTCTGATACAGGATCCTGTTACCTTCCCATAGGACTCTCTTACCTTCCCCTTCCCCGCTTGTTATCTAGTCACCCCCAAGCTGCTCAGTGTCCCAATGGGAAGAAGCATCAGACCCCTCCATAGCCAAAGCCCTGTTGGGAAGAGCCGCTGGCCGTCATAGCATCATGTGAAGCAAAGCATCTCTACTCACTGTCAGAGGCCATGCTGCAGGCAATTCCTGCGGTGAGGAGCAGGATCCAAGTCTTCATTGTCACGGAGAAGCAGCAGATGAAGCTCCCAAGATGTCAGTGAGAAGGAGACTCCCAGATTCCCAAGTGCGGATCTGCGGGGCCCTGCTCTCTCTGTGGGCGGTGGGAGGCAGTGCCAGAGGGCACTGAGGAGGCTTGCTGGTCCCTTGTGGGAGGAGAGAGTGAGAGAGCCGGGGACACCTGGTGAGCCGTGCAGAGGAGTGCCAAAGAAAATCCACGTTTTAAAAGATTTGGCTGCTGTAGGTAGGAGGCAGGCTGGAAATTCCAGCTGAGTCTCTAGCTCTGCCCCACTTGCTGCAACACGTTTGTGGCCCCAGGACACTGGGTGCTCTGGTACTAGAAATCAGCCAATGGGTGAGACATCCTGGAGTGCCCACTCACTGGGGCGTGTGCTGCTGGCACTCACTGGCCTGGGCCCGGCCCTGCCATCCTGCAGCAGACGGGCTGCAGTGTGAGCTGGCCAGGGGCTAAAGGGGAAACACGCAAATCAAACCACTGCTGCACTCACTGGGCTAGTCACCAGTTCCCCATCCGGCTCCTCGGCCTGGCTGTTGGCACATCCTGTGCAATGATCAACGCCCCCTGTGGTCTCCCAGGGCCCCATGGAGAGCCCCATTCCAGCCCCTCCCTTAGAGGTGTCACAGGGCACTGCCAGAGCTCCCCTGCGCCTTGGGGCCCTCAGTCATGTTACTGCAGAGATGCCGGGAGACGCCCAGCTGGTCCTGCTGGTTTCCAGTCTCAGAACTCATTGTATAAGTTGGCAGGGAACCGCCAAGGACCCAGCTCATGGGGGCTGCCAAATGGGATCAAACCAGGGTGCCTCTAGCCCAGTGGCCTGTGGTGCAGACTCTCAGCCTCGTGGCTTCAGAGGAAGGTGCTAGGAGCCCGGCGGGGGCAGCCACGGGACAGCCTGCCCTAGGCAAGTTCCCAGCTCCTGACCCCTGACAGTGACAAGCTGGTCCATGCCCCGGGGGAGGGGGAGTTCCGAGCCCTCCCCAGCTTATTTAGGTCATGTCCAGATGATTGGTGCTAAACTGGTGCCTCCAGCTTTGGGACAGTCCTTTGAGGATCATCCAAGGGGTCTTCCTCTTCCTTCAGCCTCCCCGTCTCCTGCCCTCCTGCCTCATTCTATGAGCTCGGCTCAGTGAGTCCAGCTGAGGCAGATTCCTGGTGGAGACACGTCCACTCTTCAGGGATTAGGTCACCTCAGCCAGCATTTGCAGTGACACTCAGTGAGGGCAAAATGGTTGAGACCATTACTTATCTGGAACTCAGCAGAAGTCTTATCATAGAGCTGGAAGAGACCTCAGGGGGTCATCAAGTCCAGCCCCCTGCCCAAGGCAGGACTAATCCAAACTAAATCAACTCAGCTCGGGCTTTGTCAAGCTGAGACTTAAACACCTCTAGGGATGGAGATTCCACCACCTCCCTAGGGAACCCATCCCAGTGCTTCCCCATCCACCTAGGGAAATATTTTTCCTAATTTCCATGTGTTGTATTGAGGGGGAGGAGGGAGTAAAAAGCTGATCATGATACCTTAAAAGGGAAAATTGCCTTGGTAACTTTCAGATTCCTGTGGAATTGTGAATTCATACTAAGTGTCTGTGCAGTATTTAACCGCTAGCTTCAGTAAGGCTGAAATCAATTTTTGCTATGAAACTTATCGCTCCTTCACCAGGATTGTAATAGGCACTTGTGGATGCCAAGGTAGTTTTCTTTCACTTGACCTCTCATTTGGCATATCTGTACAAAGCCAGTGGCTGTTCAAAAATCTCCTAAGTAATGATTTCTGCTTTCCTTTTTAAAGTTTCTAGTCCCCATGGCTGTGGAATCTCCATCCCTTCTTATCACTGTCCTATACCCTTGGTGAAAGGTGTTAAGTAGCATGTTAAGTAATAGATTTCATCTCTTGTTAAACTGTTTATGTGGAGAAAGCAAAATGAAGGAGATGCTGATCCTGTTTGTCTTGTTGTGAAAGAGGATTGGGCCAAAAGAAAGTCCTTAGGTTAGCAGAGAAATGGAGATTAAAGCAGAGCCAAGCTGTAGCGAACTCCATCCTGCAAGCTTTGTCTCTCTGGCTGACCTCCTTGGTCAGATCCCAGGGGACAGCCCGGACTAACTTTTGGAAACATCCAACTAGGACAAGGCCCCATAAGTTTATACTGCAGCTGCCTGGGGCTCTACCAGTGTGACCCCACTACAAATGATAAACTAGAAACTGACTTTAAACAGGAGTGAAACTGACACTTCAAAGTCACTTTCACAGTAGTGCCAAACCCAAATGGTCAAATATCATGAGTTAGGCTCACCAAAAATCATGAGATTGGCTTAAAAATCATGAGTTCATGTACACATAACAGATTTGGTGGGTTTTAATTTGCCTTCCACTTTTTGAGCTTTTAGGGTGCACTGGGGTCACATTTTGACACTTTCTCCATAGCCATGAGAGCTAGAAACTTTAAGAAGGAAGGCGGAAACCATCACATGCCCACTGGACTCCAGGAGCTGGGGCTTCAAGGAAAACAGTAATTATCACAAGATGCAGGACAAAATGATGAGCATTGCAACAATGCTTTTCGCCCTCTTTGAAGTGAAATGGGAAATCTATGGCAGCAGGAAGCCAGCGCTAAAGCCCCTGCATGGCTGGTTCTGCCTGATGGGGGTAGGATGCAGCTTTTGGGTTGGGGGGGGGAGACTTCGCCTGACGGAGGGAGGAAGCAGCTCAGGGGAGGGAGAGTTTTGCCTGGTGAGGGGAGGAAGCAGCTCTGTGTGCTGCTATTTCCCCTCCCTGCCACCTACCTGGAGAAACTACAGCATATGGAAGCTCTGTCCCTGTGCTTACCTGCAGGCTCCACCCCACCCCCCATTGCTCCCATTGCCTGGGAATCACGGCCAATGGGAGCAGCAGGGGCAGAGTGAAAGGGAGCAAGACCTGGGTTCTACTCCCCCCTCTCCCAGACCAGACTGCCAGTGGGGTCACCAGCCAGGGCCTTAGGGACAGAACTTGAAAGGTTCTAGGCACCCAAAGACGCAGCTCAGCCTTTAGTGGGGTTAACAAGGCACCAAAACCTTCTGGCTGCTTTTGAAAATGCCACTAGGTGCCCACATGCCTTTGCAAATCTGCCCTTAGTCTGTGTGTGCCCCCTGTGCATTGCGATAATGGCCCTGCTCAGCCTCCCTGGGGCTGGGAGGAGACTGGCATAGTGAGGCACTCAGGTACCATGGTGACGGGGCCACAGAAGTACCACAGCGGAAGTGGGAACTTCTCTGCACCACTGCCAGCCCTTCCCTGGGGTTTGGCCCCTTCTTTTCTCCCACCCCCTCACGTCTCCCTCTTTTCTGAATGTAGCAATGACGGTGCGTCTTCTGAGTCCCCAGCGTTCTGCACACACGCACATGCACGCACTTCCTGTTTCACAGGCTCTTCTAAAGACGTCCAGTTCCTTCATTTAATTACCAGCCCTTGTGTATCAGAGTCACCCTTCCTCCGTTTATAACCAAACCCCTGACTCCCGGCCCCAGGAGCACAAGCTGGGAGCAGCACCGGAGAACGCGCATTCCCCACTCAGTTCAGAGTTCTGCTTGGGGCTATGACCTATGCTGAAATGCCATGGCGGTGCGGGGGGGGGCTGGAAGCCTCGCTCTCGCCCCCTCTAAGTGAGTGCCCCTGCAGCTGTGGCCTAAAACCTCAGCAGGAGCGGTCCCCTGGTTTGCCAGCACCACAGCGACGTTAACTCTGCATCTAGCTGTTAGCTACTGACAATGAGTGTCACTGCCACTAGTGGATGACTTGACCCTGCACCCCCACGTCACCAGGAGCGGAGGAGTGATCGACAGAGCTGGAAGAGGTTAAATGGTCTCTTCCGGCCGTGGAATCTATGGATCTATAACTCTGGGGGAGCCAAGAAAAGACATTTCTCGGGTTACTGGGTTAAGAAGAACACTAGAGGGCAGCCTAGTGTTTAATTATCCTGGTGACACATGTTAACCCTTCCCTAGTGCTAGCTAACTGCTAACAGGGGGAGGAACGCTCAGTGTGCCCAGTGCAGACATGGCCTTAGCTTCTCTGCAATGTTCTTGGACTCCTCCCAGTTCCCTTTGCCCCAGACAACCATCCGTCCCTCTGTTCTCCCAGAGGCTTCCTGCCCCACATCCTCCGGAATCTCTGTTTATTTGTGTTGTTTTTTGCTCTGCAAGTTCCAGTTCCCTGCTCCCAGCCTCTGGGGCAGTTTTTGCTCCTGTGTCTTCTGCTGGGGTGGCATTTCCATTTCCAGAAGGATCCCTGTCTGGCTTGAATCACCCCTGGATGTGGCATTAGCCAGACTGGGTTACCCCTTGTCCTCCTGCTTCCCTCTTTGCCCAGGGCTCCTGGCCCCCCAGGCCACAGTTATTGGTCCCTGCAGGAGCATCCCAGCGAAACCCCCGAGGTCTCTTCACTTTGGACTTCTGGCCTTTCTGGTGAACCATCTCCTGCATCAGAAATTCCCTTAATGCCCCTGCCAGTTAGGAGCTATGGGGAAGGGGTGGGGAGAATGGGGGGGGG